AAATATTTCTGACTCTTTCGAACTGCAGTATTTGCATATGGCCGCCTTGTAAGGAATTAGAGATTTGCAAGAGAGGCATGTATTTCTTTTGGTTACAAAAGCCATGAGTCCACCAGTTTTGCTGTGCACGACAGTTTTAGTTCGCGTGTGATCGCCTCCTGTATCAAGCATAGTTAACTACATTACAGATTAATGATAAAAACATCATGTGATAGTGTTATTGCTCTTTGAAACGAAAACTCCAAATGGTTGCCAGTGCTCATGCAATGCGACGAAAAGTTGAGATTCAAAATAAATGAGGACATACACCTCATTTTACATCAAAACAATGCAAGTATCCTAGATTTGCTAGCAAAATGCAAGTTTCGCATATTACCGGTATGAATAAAGACCACGGCTTGATTCTCAAAAATGTTAGAAATTACATGTCAAAATCTAATGTGAATTTAGTTAATACACGTTACAAAAAGGTAAGGACTTTTATGACGTTTTTTAAAGGGTAAAGGCACAATGAATAAATCGTTCAGTCTTACATACAAGAAGTACTGGTTTGAATCCAAACATAACGTGAACTTATCCAATTGACAGTCATTTCGCTTGAGTAGAAAAGTCACACCAATCAGTCGAGAAATGGACTCATTAACAATTCAGACATAATAGCGTTTTGGTCTAGAGATTTCAAAGCCTACTGCTTTATCACTGACGAACTTGCATAAATCAAAACCACTAAATAAAACAAAAATATGCTACGATGAAGAAATATGCAGTCTCAAAATAGCACAAATTGTCAATATTTCAATATAAGGAAATTGAAAGTATTCGTCAACTATCTAATGATTTGATCTGCAAAGCATGCGGCGAAACCTCAGTGTGGAGAAACATCGTTATGTAATCACAAAGGGGCCAAATAAAAGTCACCAGCAGACCGCTCATGTAGTTAAAGGAGAAAGGACACATGGTTTGGTTTGAACCACGTAATGGCAATGCTTTCAACGATGATGAGATATTCATCTCACAGTAATTAATCGTCTACGTCATCAGAGATTTACTACGGCTCTGCTACGACAATTCAATTTATATAATCTCTTTCGTCACGTCCTGTAGCAGCATCGAATCTCAAGATGCACATTTTAAACCATTCTGTAGTTGCCAACATATACCTTCAACAAAAAATAGCGAACCTATCTCTTCAGGTGCTCAAATACCATAAGCCATGGCCTGCTTAAATGGCTTCATTCACAAGGAATGGTATGAACATTCAAGAACATTCGGCTAAACCCTGTTTTGGAAAAATCAAGTGCTTATAAATACACCTGGTGCATCAAACCATGTCTATGAATGTACATGTAGTTATTCAACATACTAAGAAGCAGCGATTCAGTTTTCTCTCCTAGAATTGGCTCAAAGATCCGTTCCAAAGGCTTTGCCAACTGGTTAGACAAATAGTACTGGGTGTCAATTGGAATACTGTTTTCCAACACGTACAGGGGGTCCTACAAAATGAATAAGTCATAATTATTCAGGTATAGAAAGAGTATAAGAATATTAAATGGTAGCTACCTCTGCTTTCATGTACGCCGCAGTGCCGCGACCTGCAGCGATAATGACATAAGGCACTCGGTCGCCTAAGTGTGGAGCAGAGCCAGGGTCTCTTTTTTTCATCCGCATGGCAAGTTCAACGTGTGCTTGTTTTGCAGAGTACTCCTTCAGCAAAGAAAACCAGTTAAAACACCAGCAACAAATATTACGCAAGAAACATAAAAGTATATTGCGACACTAACATACGGCTTTTAAAAAAACGTCATAGAAGAGAAACGTACCTTGTCTGTTTTGGTAAGTTCTTTCGATATGATCAGTTGACTTATGTCAACACGGTTGCACAACAGATCTGATATGACCTGTTTCGCATATTCTAGTGCTGCATCAGGGTTTCTACAAAAATTCTTTTAAGTCGTTAAATCAATATTAATCAGTCAGTAACTAATCAAAGTAATAAGCAATGAAACTTATGTCAGTCGTTCTTCAAGGAAGTTATGAACACATAGTTAAACAAACAGGTCATACCGAAAAACGAATGCATACGTGACACTCTGAAGAAAAGTCAAACCTTATAATATATGCCAAGGGCAGATAATAGCGTAATATCAGTGAGGGTTTATTGGTGGAACGCAACAGAAAGTACGTAAGCGAAAAGTCAAATATCTTCGAAATGTGAAGAACAAGGAAGCAACGGAACGAGAAAGAAAGGAAAGAAGATGCGTACTAGCTCATCCCGGACTCGCTTACACCTCATAATGAACGCAATTTGTGGTACCTTCCTTTTTATGAAGCATATGAGGTGGCGCTGATCTTCATTTCTATGCCATCAGCCAAGAGTGCATCATCATATAGTCAATTTCTATAAGAATGTGGGAAATACATAGCGTGGCACTCTTGTTTCGTTTTTCATAAGGTAGCACTCCTCTACTTCAGAAAGAACGAAAGACAAGTGACAGCATCAGACTCAAACTCTGAGTATCCGACTCTCCGTATGACGCTGTACCGACTGAGTAGCCCCTGTACAATACAAACAATACTGTATTTCTAAACCTATGGTTAGAAGCATGATAGCAAAAATTAATTAACAGAAAATCCACGTTTAAATGACCTGGTGCCTAACGCTAACAACGAATGATTTTCCTCATAATGACTGATGCCAGTTAGCTCGAAACTTCGGATCTGTATTTAACACAGAGCTTAATTCTTGTCCTTCGTGCTTGGAACTAAAAGATTCATATTCTTCAATGTGGTACACACCAATTCGAAGCAGATACTACTTAGTCGACCGGCAACCGAAAGACCACAAGGGAAGATTAGGAATGACATACAGGGTGTGCATCGATTTAGCTTAGCTCCAGACGCAGTTTATATTGTGTTGAGCTTAGATGCTTCAACAGGATGTATGCACATATCCTTCTATCTGGTTCTAAACTGCGCCAATCTTCTCGATCTTGCGACATTTGCTTTCACTTCAACATAGGATCGTTCCAGGGTGTTGTTCCCTGATCGAGTGGACATCAGCCGGTGAGGAGGAACCAGTTGGCAACTTGGGATTTCCATTTGTTAATCTTCAGACGAGCCGCTGCAGATGTCACCACTGATGTTGCTATTGAGGTCTATGTTGCCGCTGCATACGACGCTGTAGAATTTTTCTAACTCTTCGCTGTCACTGAAGATGCTACCTGCCGGGCAGTGTTTGGGATCCATTTCGGCTTGGAGATATACATCGTGCACCCTTCTACAATCGCATAACCCATTTGTGCAGTTCTGCCGGGTCCTTGGTGAAGGTGATGCCGTCTGCAAAGAGCATATGGGTGAGCCGTTATCTGTCAATGATAATACCTTCGCCCCAATTCAGACGGTTGAAGAGGAGTTCTAGCGCCGTCTCCAACAGATAGGAGAGATGGTATCTCCCTGGCATAACCGTGTAATTCACTTTTGGTATTGATTCGGCACGGGTCCTTGAACAGCTTGGTCTTGGCTGTGGTGTCAGTATTTAGTTCTTATTTTCATATCGACGTAGACAAGGTTGATACCGCAGTTGTGCAAGGCATTCGTTCAGCGCTATGAAATCGAAAGCTTCTCCGAAGCTGATGAATGCGTAGCAGAAAGGGCATTGGTATTAATTGTACTACTCTGTTAACTGCTTCATGACGTGGATGTAGAGAACAGCAGAAAACCCAGTTCGGAAAAA